CAAAACTGCAGCTCCTTGAACATTCACACTATCCATGTGTGTCTGCACATTGCAGGGTTACTTGGCTTACCATCTGATGGGCTGCTGGTATGTGCCCTGGAGAAGGAGCAAAGGTTCCACCTCCCCTTAAGCCCCTTCCCCCTCTGCAGCCTGTCCTTCTCGTGGGCAAAGGTTGGAAGCTCTTCTGAGCTGCCCCCACTTCCTGCGACAGCCAGGACAGCATCTGATACGCAGCCTGGCAGAGGCAAGGCTGGAGGAACTAACTCCTCATGTAATGGTGCTCCTGGCCCAGCACCTAGCCCACCACCGGTTGCGGGAGCCTCAGCTTCTGGAAGCCATTGCTCACTTCCTAGTTGTCCGCGAAGCCCAGCTCAACAGCAAGGTTGTACACAAGCCGGTTCTGCCCTTTGGGCATCTGAACTACTTGCCTCTGGATCAGCAATTTATGCCCTGTCTGGAGAGGATCTTGGCAGGCGTAGCACCCCTGGCTACTGTCAACATCTTGATGTCACTGTGCCGGTTGCGGTGCCTACCCTTCTGAGCCCTGCACTTTTTCTTCTCACCAAGTTTCATCAGTCACATCAGTGGTATGCCTCATGCTCTGATTGTGTGTCGCTACCTCTCCCTGCTCAACACAGCCATGGAGCTGGAGCTCCAAGGATACCGGGGTCCACACCTTCCCCAGAAGCAGCAAGTGCCCATCTTCCCCCGGCCACTCATCACTGATCGTGCCCACTGCAAGTGCAGTCAGTCACAAGGATATAGTAGGTGAGGGGCTGGACAACTGCTGGCAGAGGAAAAGTACTGGCAAGACCTGACTGTGCCTCCAGGCTACTGCACAGACTTCCTGCTGTGCGTAAACAGTACTGGTGCTGTGCTTCCTGTGAGCACCCAGGAACCTTTCCTACCATACCCACCTGACCTCAACGCAGGGCTGCCTTGAACACCACCACCGAGACCCCATCCAGAGGGTGGTGCTCATGCTGCAGGAACGTTGTTGGCATTTCTGCCTGGCGGGAGCGTCCTGCTGGGCTCTCAGGACCTGAGGAGAGCTGCACCTCAGCCTGATGGGCTATCAGCCCCTGCCCTTCGAGAAATTAGAGTCACAGAGAGGCTTGCCCCAGCTGAAGAGCTACCTGAGGCAGAAGCTCCAGACTTTGGGGCTCCACTGGGGACCCGAAGAGGGGTGAGGAAAGCACAGAGGGTCACGGTGGTCTCCCTGTGGGGAGGCAGAGAATTTTCACTTTGGTTCCCCTCTGTTTTGGTTCTCATGAAAGTGTCTCCTCCATAAGAGAAAAAAAAAATTACTGCTGTGCCATCTACTGCCCCTGAAAGCCCTCTGGAGGTTCAGTTATGAGTCAGTTCCAACTCGACAGCACATAACAACAACGATGACAACTATGTTAATCTTTGTTGTTGTTGTTGTTGTTATGTGCCGTCGAGTCACTTGCGACTCATAGCGACCCTATGTACAACAGCCCTAAACCCTGCTCTATCCTGTGCCAATCCCACCGTCTCTGACACTCCCATTCCAATTTTTCCAGTCACCGAATCAATCCACTTCATAGAGGGCCTTCCCCTCCTGCGCCGTCCCTCCACCCTCCCAAGCATGATGTCCCTCTCTAAGGACCGGTCTCTCCTCACAACATGTACAAAGTAAGCTAGACAGAGCCTCAGAATCCTTGCCTCCAAGGAGCCACCAGGTTTAACCCTTTCCAAGACAAATCTGTTTGTTTTCCTAGCAGTCCATAGTACCCTCAATACTCTTCTCCAGCACCACAGCTCAAAGGCATCAATTCTCCTTCTATCCTCCTTCGTCATTGTCCAACTCTCTGATGCATAACAAGTGATTGAAAAGACCATGGCCTGTATCAGACGCACCTTAGTCTCCAGAGAGACACCATTGCTCTTCAGTACTTTGGAGAGGTCCCTAACAGCAGACTTTTCCATGGCAATGCACCTTTTAATTTCCTGGCTGCTGGTGCCAAGATGACACAGGAGAAGGTAAATGTAGCTGCAAAGTACGTGAGAGCCAAGTGAGACAGGATCCAGGGCACAGGAAGTGGTCTGCTTTGGACAGAAAAAAAAGAGAGGCCAGCAGAGATGCACCATCAGAGAAATATGTCCGGGTTACACAGTGCCGGATGACTCACTTACAGAAGGTTCCCCCTTCTGTGTCTACTTTTAACAAACCCATGAGATCTGTCTGTGGCCCTGGCTGCTCCCACCTGGAGAAGCTCATTTGCACCCTTAAAGAGGAACCACAGTGCAGCCTGGTAAGGGCTTTTTACCAGGGACAAAACAACCCTCTACTCAGAAGTGCAACGATGTCAGTCTGGAATCTAGGGTGCACCTGATACATGCCATGGTCTTTGCAATCACTTGCTATGCATCACAGAGCTGGACAATGAGTAAGGAGGATAGAAGGAGAGTTGATGCCTTTGAGCTGTGGTGTTGGAGAAGAGTATTGAATATACCAGGGACTGCTAAGAAAACTAACAGATTTGTCCTGGAGAAAGTGAAGCCAGGCTGCTCCTTGGAGGCAAGGATTATGAAGCTTTGTCTGACATACTTTGGACATGTTGCTAGGAGGGATCAGTCCTTGGAGAGGGACGTCATGCTTGGGAGGGTGGAGGGACAGAACAGGAGAGGAAGACCCTTGTTTAGATGGATTGATTCACTGTTGTGGTAATGGGGATAGGTATGTCAGAGATAGTGAGATTGGCACAGGATAGGGCAGAGTTTAGGGTTGTTGTGCATAGGGTCGCTATGAGTCGCAGGCAACTCGATGGCACATAACAACAACAACAACTACTACTCAGAAGTACCCTTACACCCCCTGCCCCACTTGTCAAGCACTAGCAAAGCACAGCTCATCACACAGCATCATGCTAGGGGCTCTTTACTCCCCTGTGTTGATGTCTGAAAGCTGATGAGTTTAAACTGGCCAGCTATGGGAAAACAATGTGACCTTAGAGGTCTTAGAAACCCTAAGAGCTCTAATCCTTTCTGCAGGTTGCTATGCATAAAAATTGCCTCTACTCGGGTTTTGGGAGTTTGCAATTCCCCAGCAGCAACACCATTGGTACTAGAAGAAGAAATTTTAAAAATGTATCGCTCTACTTGCTAAGCATCAGAGAGCTGGACAATGACTAGGGATGATAGAAGGAGAATTGATGCCTTTGAGCTGTGGGGCTGGTGAAGAGTAGTGAATATACCATGGACTGCCAGGAGAACAAACAAGTTCGTCCTGGAGAGGTGAAGCCAGACTGCTCCTTGGAGGCAAGGATTCTGAAGCTTCGTCTGACATACTTTGGACATGTTGCAAGGGCGGGATCTGTCCTTGGAGAGGGACATCATGCTTGGGAGAGTGAAGGGACAGCACAGGAGAGGAAGACCTTTGAGGAGATGGATTGACTCAGTGACTGGGGTAATGGGGGTAGGTGTGTCAGAGACAATAAGATTGGCAAGAGATAGAGCAGGGATTAGGGCTGTTGTACATAGGATTGCTATGAGTCTCAGGCAACTCAACGAAACCTAATAACAGCAACAGCAGTAACAACAACAACAACATTGCACTAGGAAAAAGTCTGCTATCAGGGACCATTCCCAAAGTTCTAAAGAGCAATGATGTAATCTTAAAGAAAAAGGTGTGCCTGATTTAAGTAATGATCTTTCCAATCACCTGCAATGCATCTAAATGCTAAACAACTAATAACAATGACATAGTATTGATGCCTTTGAGCTGTGGTGTTGAAGAATACTGAATATCCCAAGGACTGACAAAAGAACAAATAAATATGCTTTTGGGGGCAAGGCTCGCAAAGCTTCATTTCATATGCTTCGGACACGTTGCTGAAAGAGGATATTTCTTAGTATGAGACATCATGCTTGGAAAAGTGGAGTGAGGGTCAGCAAAACGTGAGGAAGACCCACTATGAGATAGATTGGCATAGTGACTCCAGCAATGGGATTATAGCACAGGAAGAGAATTCAGATCTGTTGTTCATAGGGTCACTATGTGTCATACTGGACTTGATGATATCTAACAGCAGTTTTGACACCAGCAGCCAGAAAATCAAAAGATGAATTGCATTAGGAAAATCTGCTGTTAGAGACCGCTCCAGAGTGCTTAAGAGCACTGATGTCAGTCTAGAGACTAAGGAGTGCCTGATCCAGGCCAAGGCCAGGCAATTACTTGCTATATATCAGAGAGCTGGGCAATAAAAATGAATGACAGAAGAAGAATGGATGCCTTTGTGGTGAACATTCCGTGGACTGTCAAGAGAACAAACAGGTCTGTCCTGCAGAGGGTGAAACCAGGCTACTCCTTAGAGACAAAGATTTTCAATTCCCGCCTCATATACTTTGCGCATGTTGCCAGGAAGGACCAGGCCTTGGAGGACATCATGCTTGGAAGGGTAGAAGAATAGTGCAGGAGAGAAGACCCTGGATGAGATGGATTGAACATAGTAACCTGGGCAATAGGGGCAGGTGTGTTTGGAGACAGATTGGCTCAGGATATGGCAGGGTTCAGAGTTACTGTGTTCTGAGTCGCTGTATACGAGAAGGCACAGGCCCCCAGAGCAAGGTACTAACAGCCCGCAGGTACCACTCCC